CTTAGGGACCAAACCCCAGGATTGCGCAACTTAAGATGCCCCGTTCCTTCATTTGTAGGCAAAGTACAATCGAACTGCACACTCAAACCTTTTGCACTCAATACTTTAAATAAATGTCAGCTATCTCTCCAACTACTAGGCTATGTACAAACCCCGTACGCTCGACGTTAGAATCGTAAACAAACAACGCCCTTTACGCCCGCTACCGTCAGTGTGCTTTTATTACCCAGTAATGCACTGCGCACGGTTTGTTTGTTTGTTTCTGTGAATGTACTGTCTGTACATCATGATTCATGATTAAAGTGAGTCCGTAAAAAATGTTTTAATTTTACACCAAGCAACTGTAGGGTATTCATCCTAAGTTTACAGTACAGTACAGTTCATTTAGTCAAATTTAAATGAATATAACTTTTTGGTTTTATTAAGTTCCCATACACTTGACTTAATTTAGTGTCCAAGATCAATCAAATCAGTAGTGAAAAAATGCTCAGATTGCGCGAGCGTCAAATGCTTGTCAACATGTCCCCCGGGGCCCTCCCCTGGCTCCGGGGACTCTTCCCCTGGCCCCCAGCAAGTGGCACGTTGCTACGAAACGCGAGTTCTCACGACTTTCTTTTGGGAAAAGATGGCAACTATGGCATTGATTGTTATAATTTGATTGCTAATCATACCTTTGTTTTTAAATTATTTGGCATTTACAGTCAGATAATTAAGAAAAATTTATATAATAATACAATAATTATAATCTACCCAGCACCCAGGGACATTATTGTTCGAGGGGCGTTTGTTCAAAGCAGGCATTTATTTGAAGAAATACAGTACTTGAAATTATTAATTTCAACAGAAAAATTAATTATTATTAGTCTTTTATGCATTTTAAATTATGACGTTTAATCTTTAATTGTGTAACTTGGTTTCATGTTTTTTAATTGTCTTTGCTAGTTAGGCCTACGTTTATTTTGTGAAAAATAAATAAGGTCCTCCCTCCGTGCATGGGGCGAATGGGCAGTGTTGAGTGAAATGAACATTACATAGCTTTTTCATAGTCATAGTAAAAAAATATGTTAAAAGTAGTTATTATCATTATTGTAATTGTTTTATAAATTGCACAAATGTTTATTAGCGTATGACTTTTGTGTGCCTCACATGAATCTCACTGTTGGTACACGTCCCGCAAGAATTACATTCATGTTCATGGCTCGCATGAATTATTGCATGCCTCGCTGGATGACTTGCTGGCTCGCACTTTGGCAACCCTTGAAATGATCGGCTACCAATAGTAGCTGGTGAGTGAGGTCTGCTACTACTTAGGGAGGCTAGCCAAGGCGAATTACAGTCAAACCGTACCCATGCCAACCCGTATCCACAAACCGTACCCAAATTTTGGTCAACCCGTACCAAGAATTTTAGTCAACCCGAACCTATCTTTGATCAAACCGTACCCATCGTTGGTCAAACTGTACCCAAGTTTGATAAACAATATTATTTACTATATAGAACATTACGCAAATTATATTGTCTATTTAGATATTAATCATATCATGTATTATGAAAGCCTAACTTACCGATTAGAAGATGTATTCTAATATCTTTGATAGGATGCATTCAATCAAGAAATTTATGATCGCCAAAGAAGCCGAACACGCAAGTTGGGGGCGCTACATATTATGGCTCCATTCGTGGTGTCGTTATTTGTTTTCACGTATAATTAAGAAGTTATAATTTTAGATTATTATTGTTAGGCCTACGTATAGTTAAGAAGCTATAATTTTAGATTATTGTTAGGCCTCAAGACGTATAGTTAAGAAGTTATAATTTTAGATTATTATTGTTAGGCCTACGTATAGTTAAGAAGTTATAATTTTAGATTATTATTGTTAGGCCTACGTATAGTTAAGAAGTTATAATTTTAAATTATTATTGTTAGGTCTATGTATATGTATGGAAAATGATGTATTGTATCAATTATAAATATATATCGAAATATCCGTTTTGTTAATAAATTTGTGTTCTGCAAGACAACTTTCAATGATTGTATCACTGGTTTT